TTTGGTATAGATCAAGTGGCATGAATCTTGCTGTCAGTCCCATTCATACGGGTACGACAGCGACGCGGTGAGGTGCGTTGTTTGCGCGATCTGGTCGTCGACGACGGGGGCGTTGTGCTGGACAGGGTCCAGTGCGACGTAGCTCATGCCAAAGGTCGCCTTCTTCGAGCTCTCGTCGGCCGAATTTGGCAGAACGAAGCGCAGCCCCACCGACGCGATCGACCTCTAAACGCAGAAATAATACATGATGCAAAAAGCGTTGTACGCACCGGCTGCAAGACAAAGCGGCAGTACGGCTGGTCGAGCTTCACGTCGCCTTGCGTCTTGACCAGCGGCTTGCCGACAACGAGGAGGTAGGCGCCGGGGGTCACGTCGACCTGAAGCACAAACGGTGACTCGTTGTGGAGGTAAATGTTGGCCGGTTGAAAGGCCACCAAGTCGGTCGATGACGACGCGAGGCGCTTAAAGACGACGCTCGCCGGTGCGGGGCGCAATAGCACAAGGCGCGTGTCGACCACCGGGGCGACTGGCTCGTCAATCGCGATTGGCGGTGACGCTTCGCCGTCGTCTTGCTGCCCGAGACCCTCGCTCTCACTGCACACGCGTCCATTACAAGATCGAGCGAGAGAACGCACCTCGATCGATGGTGGCCGCGGGGGTGCACCCCTTTCTTTGGCGGCTTGTGCAGGGGATACTTGTCGGCAAAGCTCTCTGGGAGCTCCCCGACGCGATGGAGATGGCTAGTAGTGCATAGTGTCGCACCAAGGGATGATACAAAGATGTATCTACCTCATGATCTCGGACGACTCGCGCATAAAGAGATCGAATTGCACAGCAACCGCGTCCCACGGATGGTCGCTGATCTTGATATTGAGCACCTACAGCGCGCTCTCGGCATGAATATAACAATACTTGTAATGCTGTGTACCCGCCACTGGACCTTTTCGGACGAGTGAATGTCGTGGCTGAAGGGAAACCCGACGTAGATCTTGGTCACCGTGTGGTGGCATTTGGTAAAGTTCTCGACGTAGTCGGCGAGCAGCTCGCTAAAGTGCTGCACACAACTTTGCACCCAACGATCCGACGGAGAGAATCGCACCTTGTACTTGAGGTCCTTGTTCATGAGGGACGGGTTGCGACTCAAGCCCAGTGCACCCCAGAGGTGCTAGATAGTACATGGAAGGATGCCGGAGGCAACCTGCTGCTACCTGGTGCTTGACACCGAGAATGATGTGGCGAAAGACGCTGCCACCGGACGTCGATTTGAAGCTAATCGGGACGCGCTCTATCTGCTGGCTTGGGTTCATGCCTTCGTACTCGGGCATGCCATGCGCCGTCAAGTAGGCAGCGACAAAGACGGCTTCGAGGCATTGGATCGGAAGCGCCTCTGCCATGATCTCCTTGGCCGTGCCGTAAATGCTCTTGTAGCTCCGGTGTTTGTTGACGTTAAAGTAGAGCTTCCCCGTGTAGTTGTACTCGAGCGCATTGAGGTACGCCTGCACCGCGTGGAGCTTGGTCTTGATCGAGCCCTTCGCCTTCCATTTCGGCGGCTCCGGCACCGGCGGCTAGACCAAGCGCTTCATTGCATCTACGCGCTTAGGCCATACGTGTACGTACCTCGGGCAGCTCGGGCGTCCGCAGCACAGCCTCGGTCACGACCCGGAGATGCTCACTCGCCATCTCGGAAGATGAGTTTCATGGCTACACACACGCATTCTTCCGGATAACAAACATAAATCCGGATACGACAGACAGGCGGTGCGATCTTTGCAGATTCGATTGCGATGCTGCAGCACGAAGTAGGTCGCGCGTGGCGCAGCATCCCATGGAACGACGTGCTCGAGCAGCGGCTAAGCGCAGGTAACCACTGTCGCGGCCAAAATAAGGTCAAATGGCGTGCGAATAGACAAGTACTTTATGCGCAGCGGCTTGATCCGCAAGGATCTCTTGCCGTTGTACGCACAGGACGTAATGCCGTGGACGCGTGTCGTTGGCTCGTACGACGAGCTCGTCGACGCCTTGTCTAACGACACGCCAAAGAACGACGATGCGCCGCCGCTGCGATACGTGCTGAAGCTCTGCGACTCGAGCAACGCGTTCGGCATCTTCTTCTTTGACGACGCGTCGCTGACCTACGATCTCTTCCTCGACAAGTACGCCATGATCCAACGACTTTCTAGGCTGTACGTGCTGCTCGCTTAGGCAAAAACGAGTCGTTCAGCGGTACATTTCGCCATGGCTCGGGCACCGCCATCGCAAGTTTCATCTGCGGGTCCTCGTCTTGGCGGTACGGTTCCTCCTGGTTTAGATAGAGACTCAGGCTTCTCTGGGAAAAGGTCGGCCACCTCGACGTCTACGTCTTCCACGACGTCCGCGCGCTCGTAGCGACGGAGGCGTACCGCGACGATGCGCTCGACAACCCGCTCGTGCACGTGACCAACTTGAGCGCCAACAAGGAGGCTCCAACCTACAATGAGGCGGCCCAGAATCTGGCGCTTTCGGACGTGACAGGCCTCGACCACGACCAGATCCTCGACCAGATTCACGCGAGCGTCCGCGTTGTGTTTCAGAATCTGACGCGCGCACGGAACCGGCGTCACTTCTTCTCGCTACCCAACTGCTACGAGCTCTTTGGGTGGGACTTTATGGTACGTCACCGTATCACATTTCAGCGACCAGATTCTGGTACCGGTAGGTCGACAGCGCGGGTCGCGCTCTCCTCCTCGAGGTCAACCCCGACCCCTCGCTTCGCATGTACCATCACGGCGCGGCCATCGTACCACTGGACGTGCTCACGAATGGCGTCCCGCCCAACACGTTTACACGCGTCTTCTCTCTCCAAGCCGCCAAGGCGCTGGCGTCCCTTCGCCGTCACACGTCGTCCTAAACTTCATTTTTGCATGCAGCAATGGATTCGACCATGCAAATGAAAGAGTTGTTGGTACACAGGTTACGGAGCAGCGCCGTAGCCAGCTTGGTGGGACCCCGTTCGAACCATACCTACCGCACCGTTGATTCGAGAATTCAGATCGAAAGAACGTACAGCGACGGGTCAAGACCGTGTGCACGACGCCGAGGACGACAACACTCGCAGCGAGGACGAGCGCTGCGAGCGTGCCGGACGTCATCTCGGAGGCAGCGTGAATGGTCGGCGTCGAGGCGTACGAGTGCATGGCGACGACGAGGTTGAAGTACAGAGCGCACCCCATCGTGGCTAGCGCAAAGAGGCCCCAGATGACGCCCCAGCACCGACTCGAGGTGTGCGTCATCTTGGCAAATACTGACGCGTCACTACACATTAGTGACGTGTGGACACTTGAAAGCCATCTCACGAGAATACCTGTCGTTGACGCGGCGTGCAATGAGGTCGTCCCAAATGTCGTAGATCGAAAAGAGACAGCTCATGACACCCACGAGCAGCACGAGGTAGCGCACGCCGTTGTACTCGGTGGCGAGTGTCAGCGCCAGCAAACCGCCAAGCAGCACAATAAAGCCCGCGTTGAGATAGCGCAGGTACGCGTTTTGCGCGTAAAAGATAAAGACAAAGAGGAGCGCGATGAGGACGCCGGCTGCGATTTCGGCCGCGAGCTTGTTGGGACTATGGATACGTGAGATGGCGGTAGGACAGTAGATGGGTTTCTACCTGGCAATGACGAGCGCCATGCCCCAGACGGCTGAGCCCAAGTAGCCCTACGCGCGGCTTGATGTAAGCTCAAGTACACCGAGAAGGCGATCGCATACCGCAGGTACGATGATGAACGCGATGCCACCAACGTACTTGGTCACACCGCCTTCGTTCGGATGTACCTCCATGCCCGTGACCTGCATGTCCATGACGCCAATAAGATCAGATGCGAGGCGCATGATGAACGCACCTTGCCGCATGTTAGCCAGACCGCGCTGGCATGGCCCATCTCGTGAAGGAAGACGGTCCTATGTACATCGTCCATGAGCGACGAGAGCGTCATAACAGCGCACGCACAGAATCTTGAACGGATGAATGAGCGGAAAGCGCCAACTACAAAGCGCGTGAGCCGTGGCAATCTCCTCTCGCAACGTACAGCTTGAAGATGAGAACGGTGTAGCCAACGATGAGGTAGATGTTCTGGAGCTGCTGGTCGTTGCAGCAGCGGAGCGTGTACCAGGCGTCGTCGGGAGAGCTCGCCATCGCGACTGTTGGACACGATTGCAAAATGCCTCCAAACCGAACTTATCCAAGCGAATATGCGACATGTCCGGCAAGATATCCGGAAATTCAAAATTCACTGCCGTGGACATGGGCACACAAATAGGTCGCGCTATCTCGCGCCACCAAAACTATCCATACGACAAGTGCTTGGGATAGTAGCTATTTCCGCCCATGAGCGAGCGACACGCCTAACGTCTCGCTTTGGCACGTGCGGACGAGAATGTGCCTGCGACGGCTGGCTGCAAGGGTGGTTCGCCTCTCAAACCAGCTATGCTGGCTACCTCAGCGGGCTCACCCGGTGCTGCTGCTGCGTGCTCGACGTCTTGTATGATCTGCACTCGTAGCGTTTCATTCACACTAGATAATTGCATTGAAAACTCATTACAACAATGCGGTCATTGTCGTGTACCTACACTACATTGCGTACTCTTGCATCGAGCAACGTCGTATTTGGATCCAGCAAACTGGCGGCGCCAGTCGAGCGTCCTGCAACACCGCAAGGCTAAGTGCACGCAACTTGACATTGAAACACAGGTGCTCGGTCGCAGGACCGAGAGGACAGTGTACCCATGGATGGTCGTGCAGCGTTTACGCTAGCTCGCAGCTATCAACGAAGCGACCATACGCTGCACCGGTGCTGTTATCAAGCTCCATTTCGCTTTTTCAACTCAACGCATGGCACGTTGCGGGTTGTCCCTCGTGGCGCCCCTTTGTCTAGTCGGTGGATTTCTGCTTCGTAAGCGGAAGGCACAGGGTTCAGTCCCCGCTGGCGCAGGCCCTTTTCCGCCGCCGACCATGAATATGTATTATCCTAAACGTGTCCAACATAGGCAGGCAGCGCGCAATGCTACAAAGGCAACGTAGCAGCAGCAGCAGTCAAACCGAGGACTACTTCGGCAGGCCAGTCACAACAACCTGTGTGGAGAAGGGTGCGATGCTCCCTCGTAAAGGTTCAGCCGTTGCGGGACTCGGGGCGGCGCTGCTGCTGCTACTCTTTTTGCCAACTGCTGTTGCTACTCATTTAACCAACGTTATCCTAACCACAGTATCCAAGCGTAATCTCGTCTTGCTGTTCTGTCATCGACGACACCCTGCAGGAGACTTGGCTTCTTGAGAGAAAGGCTGTCAGAAGACACGACTCGAACCCAAGCCATTGCCCCACCCACGATTGCCGTGCGGCACAGATCTGCTCGCCTCCATTGACGCCACTGGCGGTCCGATGCGATCGAGCACCGCCGAGTGTGGACATTGTCTCTGCCAACGTGGTTGGTGAACGCGCTAACTTGCGAAACGTCCGTGTTGCATGCGTTAAAAAGGCGTCGGGGCCGGGGTTCGAAGCGGCACTGCCGAGCGCAAGACAACGACAACGAGCGAGTGTACATCGCGCCGCCACGTCATCCTGGTCGTCAAACGTCCGGATAACGCTATTAAATTTCGAATCTGCAGAATGGGCGCGGCAACGAGCCACGACGCGAGCGTATCGGTCGCGGAGCAAGCCAGCGCTCCTGAGGACTGGCAATCGTTTGACGTCGGGCGCCAGTTGGGCCGGGGCGGCGACCGTCTCCCTGGCGCGAGACGCGACGGCCGGCACCGAGTACGCTCTCAAGGTCATCCCAGCTGGCGATACGCAACGATACGCTCGCGATCCAAGCTTTGTTGGTGGACATAAACGTTGTCCGGCGGGTTACATCGTTCGAGGACGCTCACATCTTGGTCCTCGTCCTCGAGTATGCCCCTGGCGTCTACGAGCTGCTATATCGCGGGCGACTCTGATGCCGCCCGCGATGTAACCTTTTTTACGAGTAGCAGATATACTGTACGTGCGCATATGCTGCCGTCGCCGACTACTACGAAGCCAGCGTTCTTTCTCGACAACTCGCCTTATTGGTGTGTTTAACGCATTAACAACGTCGCGGTGGCGTGTCTGCCTCCTACATGCGACGGCGCGCGACACCAAGGAATATGTGGTCCCGGCGACTTGCTTGCGGTGGTGGTCGTTGATGAAACGGTTCAAAACAGATGGTTTTCAAATGTGTTTAAAACACGTTGAAACGGTGTTGGATTCGATATTTTGCCGCCGTGGGGTTTGGTTGACGAGAGCGACAGGGCGACCTCGCTTCTACGACCTCAGCCTACGCTGCGGTCGCATCACTTTCAGTTTTGCTCGGTACCTCAGAAGCCTCAGCATGCGCAGCTACGTCATCTCCCTCGTCGCCTGCCTCGCGGCCAGCGCCGCCGGTCACTCGTGGATCGAATGCACCGACTACCGCATGGCGGCGCCTGACCAGCCATGGGACCCGTCGCTCTGCAAGGGCCGCCCACGCTGCAGCGAGCGCCAGACGGCTGCGGGCTTTGGCGTCGATACAGGCATGAACATTGAAAAGAAGCAGTGCCAATGCGCCTACGGCTCGGACGCAGCCAAGGCGATCCCGACGGCAACGTACACCCCTGGGCAGCGCGTCTGCCTCGCGTACCCGCCAAAGAACCACGTCGCGGATACGTGCACGGGCCCGTACATCCCGGACCAAGAGACGATCATCTCGCGGACGGCCCTCGGCGCCACGACCGACGACTTTAGCGGAAAGACGTACGAGCACCTCAACGGCAAGCATGTCGACGGTAAGATCGACCACAAGGGGTTCCAGAACTGCCAGAACTTTTGCGCCAACACGGACAAGGCGCTCTGCACCATGTGCTTTGACCTTGAAGCCGACATTGCGCCCGGCCAGTACAGCTTCAAGTGGGAGTGGGAGTTCAACAAAGGCCAGTTCTTTACGACATGCTGGGAAGCAGCCGTGGCCGGCTCCGCGACGCCTGTCGCCGCTGGTGCCACGACGGCTGACTCGCCTCTCCCCGTCGCCTCCTCCAGCCCGACACCTGCGACGAGCTCCGTGCCAGTGGTGCCCTCAGCACAGCCGTCGACGTCGCTTGCATCGAACGCGTCCACGCCGTCCCGCACATGCGACCGTTTGAAACAGGAGGCTCTCGCCATGCAATGCCCAGCCATTTGATTCAGTTGTTCTCACCGTATACTATAAACCTATCTAAATACCGCCGACAGAGTGTACATCGTGGCGGTCGAGTCTTTGTTGCTACATATTCGTAGCAACGCCCGTTTCGTGCTCATAACGTCGGTCCCGCATGGAGCCGCCGGACGATTATGCTCCGTCTGGCGTCGCGATGCCGGTACGCCCAATGCATTGCAGCATCGCCCACCTGGCTGTCTAGGTGTGCGTGTACACGGCCAGCGCACGCCCTGTTGGCGGCGGTACGCACCTTGAGCCTACTCGACTCGCTTCCAATGCCATGCCATAGAGCCTTGTGCCCTCGAGGTGACCTCGTCCAAGCAAATCACCGCGACCGCCAAGGTTGACTCGTCCGTAGCGTTGCGCATGGGCTAGAAAGGGACAGTGTAGGCCGGATCGTCGAGTCTCCGGGTGGACCATGCGCTGCAAGCGCCGACGGCCGACGACCTTGTGCGCCAGTCGATGCAGCCGCTTCTGCAAGCCGTCGTCGACGGCGTCCACGGGTGCATTCTCTGTGGCGGCAGCGCGCTCTCGCCGCACGTGGCTGTGTTCCAAGGCGACGAGACGACCCACGGGCTTGTGGCGGCCGTGCTATCGACGCTCATCGCACTCCTCAGTGCAAGGACGTCGACAACGTACTTTCTTCGGGTTTCGTTTGTCGAGATTTATGAAGAGACGGCGATGGTCTTTCAGCACTACTAACATTCAATCGCTCAGCCGAGTGCGCTAGGACTTGCTATCGCCCAAGCCCGTGGTCATACCGCACATCGACCACGCGACGCGAGTCGGCCCGATCAACTCTGTCGCAGCGCTCTCGAGCGTCCTTGCCCAAGCGCGGATGCGGCGCCATGCCGGCGCAACCGCACACGGTACACCAGCCATCGACTTTGCCGCGGCCATTTTTCGAGTAGAACGCGCTCTTGTCTGTGTATCGCTGACCATAACTACGTCGTAGGTGCATATCAAGCAAGTCGAAACTACTGGTAGTCGCAAAGCCACCTACTCGCGCTTGGATGTCATCAACTTGCCCGCGCTCAACCATCTCAACGAGGTACTAGCTGCAAGTATCAACTTGATACAACCTCTACCTTTGCTAGTCGATGCGCTTGGCCGAGAGTCCGCTTCTCACCAAGTCACTCGTTGCATTCGAAAGCCTCTTGCGGGCTCTCTCGACTCCGCCGACCACGTTGTTCCCGCCCTACGATGTTTCGCTTTTGACCGACCACTTGCGGCAGGCGCTCGGCGGCGACTGCTCCACGATGGTCCGCTCGATCTGCAGCGTGTACATATATGTTGCTGACAGCCTATATGTAGGCGTGTATCGGGCTTGTCCCCAATGACTTTGACGGCACCAAAGCCAGCTTGCTGATCGCGTCGCTGCTGCAGCAAGTGCACAACTTCCCCATCGTTCACAACGACTTGGTCGACGGGTTGGTAGGTCACTGCCTCTATGCAGCTAGACTTTTAGCGGGGAACGGGTGCTAGCAACGCCGGTACGAGCGCGAGACGCAGTCGCTCAAGGGCGAACTGGCCTTTGCCAAGACCCGTTCGAACGCGAACAACAACAATAGCGACGAATCGAGCGACCTTGTGTCGCTGCTGCAAACGACGCACGAGCTTGAAGGCCGCTGCATTCGAGAAAACCTCGAGAAAATCAAGCTCCGAGAGCACGTCGAGTCGCTGCAAAAAGCGCTTGCCGAGTATCGAACCAAGTACCAATCACTTGTGGAGGGCGATGTGAGCGTGCGCCAGCAACTGCTCGAGAGCGAGCGAGAGAAGTTGCGTCTGAGCAAAGCACTCGTCGACCTCCAGCTGGCCCACGCGTCGAGCCAAGAAGACATTGAGAAGAACTCGTTTGCGCTCACAACCAAGCTCCTCAACGCCGAGAACGACGTGCTCGAACTCCAAATGCGCGAGGAGGAGCACGCCGCGCACTTGAAGCGCGCGCAGGACGCGGCGAGTGCGGCGATGAGCGAGAAGCGAGAGCTCGCGATCGAGTTTGTGGCGCTCAAGACCAACTTTGTCGCACTCCGCAGTGCCTACGAGAAGGAAGTCGCTACGCACCAGCAAGTCGGACTCGAACTCTTGACGCTCGTCAACCAAAAGAAGACGCTGCTGGGGGTAGGTTCAAGTCCCTCGCGCCGCATAATTTATCGTGCGTAGCAAATGGTGGACCTCGAACGTGGAAAGAAGGACGCGTTAGAGCTGCGTGCCAAGGACCAAGTGGCACTGGATACGCTGGCCAAGCAGACGAGCGAGCTCCACGAGCACCTCGCCGCCGAGAAACAGAGAACGGAGAGCCTCACCAAGACCAGTGTAAACAACTGTCTTGATGCGCGATATGAAGAAGAGTGACGTAGGTGGAGCTCGAACTGCAAGTCAAGGCGCTGCGTCTCGAGGCCGACGCGCGGCAGCTGCAGTACGAAAAGGCAGCGCAAGAAGCGCTCCAGGAGCGTGCGAGCATTGCTCGACAGCTGCAGCAGCAAGCTCAGGACCAAGCGACCGCCGCCCAGGTGCAGTGAATCGAGTGCGATGGACTACCTCACCCACTGGGTTGGCATAGGCTCGCATCGAGGCGCTGCAAGACCAAGTCAAGACGCTCACATCGACCGTACGACTGCGCTGTTGGGTCGTCTTTCATCTGGTCACTGCATGTTGTAGACGCGTCAAATGGCGCGCCAGATCCTCAATCTGGAGACGGTCGTGACCAGAAAGGCGAGCGAGATCGAGGCGCTGACGCAAACCATGTAACCAAGTCCACGCCATTTGTTTCAAACGCTGAGACGACGCGAATAGCACTCGCCAAGCGATGGACCTCGAAGCTACCGAGCGCGACTACCGCGCCAAGCTCGAGCAGCTCTTGCGGGCGGCGTCGGGCGCGGCGCCTGCTGCGGGTGACGACGTCATCGCCAAAGAACTCGTCGACTCGTTTCGGAAAAAGGAGGCGGACCTTTTCGCACTGCTTCGCGAGACGCGCTTGGACGCGACGCAGTGGCAGCGCCGCACATACCAGCTTCATGACGTGGCACTCCGTCTGCGCCGAATTCTCCACGACCACGATGTGGTACAAGCCAAAGCATCTACATCTCGTATCTCCTGCATATCCATTAGCAAGCGGATGACGTGCCCAAGGACATGGAGGCGTGGGCATCCGAGTCTGCGGCCCGTCACGCCGACAGCGAGGCAGCGGCGGAGCTCTGGCGCACCAAGTTCGAGGCCACGCAACACGATTTGCACCTCCAGCTCGAAAAGAATTTATCGATTGTCGAGAGCTACAAAGGCATGTTGGCCGAGAAGAGCTCAGAGCTCACGCGCTTGAACGCCGAGTGCGCGAGTATCAAAGCAGACCGCGACCGACTACTGGCACAATGGGAGCGGTCCAGCGCCACGCCAACGCCCGAGGTGGGAAACGACAGCGCGGCGCAAGTGCGGCAGATGCAGGAGACGCTGCTCGCACAGATTGCCGAGCTGCGACAGCTGCACGCCGCCAAGCAGACGGATGCGGTCGAGCTCAGCGCGGAGCTTCGGGCGCTGCAAAAAGAGAATCAAAAGCTCAAAAAGCTGCACAAAGTACCGTCGGCCAACATGGCCCATGTGGAAGAGACCGAGCGTCGCTGTGCCGAGCTGCTCACGCGCAACATCATGCTCACGGAGGAGGTCGCTAGCTTCAAGCAGCTGCTCAAGGTGATACATCGAGCCCTTGTTCATGCAGTGCTATTGTGATCCGTAGGCGACGGCGACCAAGTACCAGCGCCGGCTCGCCGAGCTGCAGGAAACGCGCCAAGACAGAGTGTAGATCGCACGGCGAAATCGAGACAAATTACAGAGTTTGTGGCGTCTTAAAACTTGAACACCATATCCGAAGTATAGTTGAGTTCCTTGAGGATGCCCTCGACCTGGCCCTGCGAGAAGTCCTTGGCCTTGCCGCCCGAGACCGTGGTCATCATGCCCGGCGGGCCGCAGACAAGCACCAAGTTGTCGGCGGCCGGCGCCGGCAAGTGCTTCTCCAAAAGGTCCTTGTCGACGCGGCCCGTGAGACCCGTCCACGACTCGCTCGGCTTGCTCAAGATGTGGATGACCTTGAGACCCGGGTACATGCGCTCGTACGTGGCCAACTCGTCGCGGAGGATGATGTCGTCCTCGGTTTGGTTGGCAAAGATGAGCGTAACCTTGGTGTGGTCTTCGGGGTTGCGGAGGATCTCGAGCGCGACCTGGAGCATCGGCGTGATGCCGCTGCCGCCGGCGACCATGCCCACGTGCTTGCGCGAGTTGGCGACGTACGGGAACTTCATGAGCGGGCCCTTGATGTCCAGCGAGTCACCAGCCTGGAGCTCGACAATGTGCTTGCTCATGGAGCCGTTCGGGTAACCCTTGACGATGAGGTCCAAGAAGCCCGCCTGCATCGGAGCCGACGTCGGCGTGTACGGCTTGATGACGTTCTTGCCGTTCAGCGACGCCTTGGCCATGACGAACGAAGCAACCTTCATGCCGCTCGTGTCCGTCTCGCTCGGGAACTCGAGGCGAACCTTGTGCGTGTTGTGCGTGAGCTTTTCGTTGCTCAGCACGCGCAACGACCGCCACTCGCCGGGGCTGATGGCATGCTTCTCGCCCTCGGCCGAGGCAACGCCCGAGAAGCCGGCGGCCATGAAGGAAGCGCCGAAGGCGAAGCCCATCTTGGCCGAGTTGGCGGCCGAGTCGGCCGTCAGCATCGAGGCCATCTTGCGCAGCTGGTGCCGGGTCACGCGGAGGAGCATCATCGTCAAGGGAAAAGAGGATGTTGCAGTCACTATTTCTGTGGTTCAAGGCCCGTGGAACATTTCAGCCAATGGCCTTGGCGCTATTGGCTTCGAACTTCGATTTATTTATGGGACCCAGCCCCCGGGGTAGGATCCGGTTGCACACCCATGCACTGTGATAGGGCAGCACCGAACCGGCTTCCTCTTTGGCGCGCATTGGCTGCTTGCCCTTGACGGCAAGAGCACATCGCCGCCCGACGACCGTGGGGATCGGTGCCCGCCCAGGGAGGGCGAAAACCACTTGAACTATGTATCGTATCAGGAGGGGTCAGTGTGTGTTACACAGGGGCCCTGTCGTTTGCCGCTGGGTTTCCACTGGGAATGGTGAGGAATTCCGACGGGGGTGGCCAAACACACTGCTTCGCACTGTTTCTTGGGTACCAGGGAGGGTCCAAAACATACACCAGAAGGTTCGATTCCGGAAAGCAGCCGAATTTCGAAGCGCATCCCGGACACTATCCGGATACTGGAATCCAATCTTCGACAAGATCCGAGCGAAACCACCGCAGCGACGTCATGTGGCGGGCGCGGGAGAAGACGTCCGTCTCGGCGTCGACAGCGAGCTCGTCAGTGAGTGGACTTGGCGGCGCCCACGTGGCGGCGAGTGTCCAGAGCAATGGCCGGCGTCCGAGCAACCCGCGCGTGACACCGACCAAGATCGGCAAGCCGACGACCAAGACCAAGCCGACGACGCAAGCGATCGCCGAGGTACGTCGCCGTCGCCATCGACAATGCACTCACCATAGGCAATTAGATTGAGAAGAACCGGGAGGACCGGCGCAAGGCCATGGCGCTCGTGAAGAAGGAGCGCGAGCAAGAGTCTCTCAACAACGAGCGCAACGGAACGCCGGGCGACGTGGACTTTCAGCGCATGATCAAACAGTTCCGCGAGCAAGACCACCAGGAGCTGAGTCACACATCCAAGGGCGAAATGAAGATCACGATCTGCGTGCGGAAGCGCCCGGTCAACAAGCGCGAGGTCCGCGTCAAAGACTACGACTGCATCACGTGCTGGCACCCCAAGGTACTTTGTCAGACCGACTTAGCACTTCTGAAGATGGAGTAGGTCATCATCCACGACTGCAAGCTCAAGGTCGATGGCATCACCAAGTACCTCGACAGCAATGCGTTCGCCTTCGACCACAGCTTTGACGAGCACACGTCGAACGCGACCGTGTACAAGTACACGGCGCAGCCGCTGATCCAGTTTGTCTTCAACGAAGGGGGGCGCGCGACGGTCTTTGCGTACGGCCAAACCGGCAGCGGCAAGACGTACACGATGGAGGGCATCCAGTCGCAGGCCGCAACAGACCTCTTTGCTCAGCTCGACAAGTGGCGCGACACCACGTACGCTGCATTTATCAGCGCTCGTGGTACGACGGGGCGTGTAGAGGTCAAACGCTCGAGCTCTGGATGAGCTTCTTTGAGATCTACGGCGGCCAGTGCCAAGACCTCTTGCGCCAGAAGCGTCTCACGATCCGCGAAGACGGCAACGGCGAAGTGCAAATCGTCGACTTGGACGAAGTTCGCATTCACTCGGAGGCCGAGCTGCTCCAAACCATGCAGCGCGGTATGCTCGCCTGTTCTTTCTCGACGTACTTTGAACGGATGCAGGCAACGCTTTGCGCACGACGCACGCAACTGAAATGAACGACCAGTCGTCGCGCTCGCACAGCATTTGCCAGCTTCATATCCGCGAAGCCGGCTCGATGAAACTACACGGTGCAGTCGGCTCTGCGATCGCATCTCAACGGGCCGTAGGCAAGCTATCGCTCATTGACCTCGCGGGCAGCGAACGCGGCGCCGACACCAAGAGCCACAACCGCCAACGGCGCATGGAGTCGTCCGAGATCAACAAGAGCCTCCTCGCACTCAAAGAGTGCTTTCGGTACCGTACCTCGTGTGCACCACTTGCAGCTTACTCGAATATGTGCGCACAGTGCGCTCGACAGCGGCGGACGCGGGGCTCACATCCCTTTCCGAGCGAGCAAGCTCACGCAGGTGCTCAAAGATTCGTTTGTGAATGCCAAGGCCCGGTACCGCTCCTCGTTGTCGTCTCCACCGACGCAAGCGTGCTGGTAGCACGGTCATGATTGCGGCCGTCTCGCCCTGCGCGTCGTCGGCCGACCACACGATCAACACGCTCCGGTATGCGGACCGCGTCAAGGAAAAGGCGGTCGAGCCCGACGACGGCTCTGCAGACCCACTGCACGTCCATGTCAAGCGTACATCTCCTAGTGGGCATGCGTCCGTGGCGGTGACGCGTCTGTAGATCTCATGCATCGTCCCGGAAGCAGCCCCGAGAAGCCCCCGCCGCCACCGCCGCCACCGGGCAACTCACTCGCAGATCTCATGTCGGAAGCGGTGTCGCGCAACTTGACCGATATTGCCTTGTCGGACGACGATGACGAGCTGCATGACGACGACGCGTCGACGTACTCGGATGCGGATCACATCGACTACGTCGACCCGCGCGACTCGACGTCGAGCCAAGACGACATCAAGATGCTCCACAGCGCGCTCCGCAACCAAACCCCGGATGGTATGGATCTAGTCGATAGATTGATACAAAGAGGAGTGACACAGGGGCCATCGACGACGAAGACCACTCGCTCGAAGACCTCCATGAAGTGGTCCGACGCCCGTCACGACCCATCGTGTGTCTGACGTAGCTCCTGCCCATGTAGGTTCAAACGCTGTACGAAGAGCAAGAGAATTTGCTGAGCAGCCACATGACGGCGATTCAGGTACATCAGCTCCAGATGTGAACAGATTACAAACCTCGCTGCTTAGGAAAACGCGGAGCTCCTCACGGAGGAGGGCATGCTCCTCTCCGACGTCCAAGGCGAAGCGGTGGTCGATTATGACATTGACCAATACGCGCAGCGTCTCGACGAGGTAGCCGCCTCGACGCATGCTCGGTCTTCAACCTTGTACTGTTGCTAGATCCTCGCCAAGAAGGAAGCGACAATCCGCAAGCTGCGATTGCAATTGTCGCAGTTCAGGACGCGCTGCAAAGAGGAAGAGGCCGCCGCCAAGCGTGTGGCCCAAGTGCCATTCTACTAACTTGGGCTCATGCTCAAGCGAAAAAGATGTGTGTATGAAAGAGCGTATCGGAAGCGATGCTTGCTTACTCCTGCTTGGCCTCCGTTTCGAGCTGCTTATCGACGAGCTTCTTGGCGATGGCAGCCGTGGCGTCCTTCGTGGCATCCTTGACGACGCCGCTAATGTCGGCGATGACCGAGCCCGAGTTGGACTTGATGTTGTCAATGGCCGCGTCAATGTTGGCCTCGTGCGACTTGAGGAAGGGCTGGAGGAAGTGGGTGAAGATGAAGGTGGCGCCCTGCGTCGAGGGGAGGAAGAGCCAGACGAGGAAGCCGAGCTTGAAGGCGTAGTAAAAGGGCACCCAGAAGAGGAGGTAGTCGACAAAGACCTCGACAATCTCAAAACAGCAGTAGACAACCCAGTACGTGAGCCACTGCACGTCGTCTTGCTTCGATTCCGACTCGATGGCCTTGAAGGACGCGTACGCCGGGTAGACAAAGCCCACGAGGTTGCAGAGGAGGCCGGCGCCGAAGCCGACGAGCACGACGAGCAGGAGGAGCGCGACGGAAGCGGCCGTGAGGTAGAGCTTGTCGACGCCCGTCTGCGCCTCGAGCTGGACGAGGATCGGGTACTTGTTGAGCTCGGCCTTGGCCTTCTCGAGCTGCGCGTTCACTTGGTCCATTGTCGTTGACTGCAAATTTCAAAGTGAAAACTGAGGCGCTGCTTCTTTCATCCGGATAAACGTGGAAATATTTTTAGAACCCCACCGCACGGCTAGTCGCACGCCATTTTTGCCGGCTTGATGGTTTTGTCCACCGAAGCGACTGCCCGACTGGATAGCCCGTGCTGCAGGATGCATACTTGGCTAAATAGATGTATTCGAGCTGCTCGCAGAGCAGAGAGGGGTCTCGAGACTGCGGCGACGCAGTCGGTGGTTCGACGGGGTCCTGGTTCTTCTTGGTCGGAGCAAGCGACAGGCCGGGGTAGGGTATGGAAGAACGGGTGTCGAACGAGCGATTTCGACCATTTCCGCCGATGCAGGAGGTTCAGCCAGGCATAAGCAAGGAGGATGCACAGAGACAGGGGCTGCTTTGTCATACAGAGAACAGTCTATGTTTTTACTACGAGAAGACGGCGCTTGTCTGTGAAGCGCTCGACGTCGTTCGCTCGGCACGGTGGAAACGCGTGGCCATCTTGATCCGTGTCTAAATCATCAAGTCAAAAGCAATGGTGGCGCCAGAATCCTATCACTTGACACGGTTGCGTGCAAATAGCTGCTGGATTGTGGAAGTGTATCCGGATGGCCGCAAATTTCGGTGACGACGAAACACGCAAGATGGACGTCCTGCGCCAGCTGCGAGCGACGCTCGACGAGTGGGACATTGCCGCGCTCAACGAGGCCGAAGAGCAGCTAGGCATCGACAAGACGTACGTCTTCCTGAGCCTTATCGGCGCCGCGTACCTCGTGCTCGTGGGCGGCCTTGGCGCCGGCTTTCTCGCGACCACGATGGGCTTTCTCTATCCAGGTTATGCGTCCTTTCGCGTGCTCCAGAAGCCAGCGCTTGTGCGCAAGGCCGAGACGCGCCTCTGGCTCATGTACTGGATCGTCTTTGGCTGCTACAAGATCGTGGAAGGTCTCGTCTTGGACCCGCTCTTCTCGTCGGTGCCCAACTACAACTCGTTCAAGCTCATTGGCGTGAGCCTCCTCTTCGTTCCGTCGACGCGCCGCACGTGCATGTTCTACAGTCGGTACCTCGTGCCCTTCCTCAAGCCCACCGAGGGCGTTGTCGACAAGTTCTTGCGCGAGGCCAAGTTTGGCGTCGACTGCGCCACGAGCGACGTCGCCGAGACCGACCTCTTCCAGGACATCGCTCGCTTCTTTACCAAGAAGACGGCGCTCAAGCCCAAGCGCAGCTAAGTGTTAGTATACTGGTTGTCGATGTCCATTGCTCTACCGCTCTACCAACGGAGGAGCGGGCGATCCTGTCCCACATTGCCCTTGCATCCGATTGGACAAAAGAATATCAAATCAAACACACTGGCCAATCACCACGTAGTTTCCATGGATTGGACAATCATTCTCGATTGCCACAAGATCGCGACGCTTGACGGACTAGCATGGTCGGCAACCAAGAAGTCGCTCTCTGCGTCGACGGCCATGACGCCGATGAGAGCTTCCTCGCTAAGATTGCGCCGACGTTCGAGGACGAGCGGGATCTCGTGGGCCAGTTTGAGCATGCTGTCGGCGTCGGGCAGCGCCTCTTCCACGAACTCTACGCCTTTCGCAGCTGCGCCCGCGCCTTGCCCAACGTCTCGGACGCCAAAGCGTACCGCGCCATCTTCGATGGTATGGCATCGTTTGCACCATCGTGCTCATGGGTGTTGGTAGTGTTGCGTCCGCAGATGCGTAAGTTGCAGCGGCTCTGCGCCTTCTGCCACGAAACAACGATTCTTGTGAGCAGCAACATGCAAAAGTTCACCGCGCAAGACAACTGCACACGCGTCGTGCCCGACACGCTCCTCGCAGCGTTCGTCTCGGTGCTCGACGTGCTCTTCCAGCTCAATCAGCTCTACGACATCAAGTCGGGTCTCCGCAATGACTTTTCGGTCTTCAAGCGGTAGGCGCCAATGGCGAGCGACATCGATGCCACCGATCGTATAGAGCGTTCCAGTCTATCAAGGACGACATAGCTGACGCGCCCACGATCGCTTCGGAGCTTCAGACGCTACAAGAGTTCCTCGGTAGTGCATCCCACCCCAAAGGCTACATCTTCAACGCCCTTCGCCACAACATTCACAACGTCAAGCGGTACAACACGTTGCGCATCTTTGCTCTACAAGTATCGTATGCATAGCTTTGAGCACGTCATTTGCCTGCTTCTCAAGCACGTGTTGGTGCACCTCGAGAAGAAGATGCATTTGGCCCACGACAAGTTCGCCTACCTCCGCGTGCTCCCGTACTTTCTCCTCGTACTCGACAAGGACGGCCATGGCAAGGCCAATGCGTTCAAGGGCAACAAGGCCAAGCTCGAAGCGGTATCAACTGCGTACGAGAAGTGGGTTTGACGTGCAGAATTAGCTCGGCAAGTTCCTTCGGCGCTACCCCGTGCTGCCCGTGTACGCCGATATGACGTTGCGACCGGCCACGTTGCTGCAGACATCGAGCTTTGCCTTCCTCTTGCCGACTTCCGAGGCAACGCCCGAGGCGTACGCGTTAGCGCCATGGCGGCAGCGTGCCAAGAAGGAGCTCGATGGGTACCTCCCCCGCCTCGCGCTCGCCTTGCTGACGGTACAAACAATCGTCTCAGTCTAATTTGTGCGCAACTGGCAAGCGCTAGAGTCCGTCGGATGGAATCTACGACGTCGTCCTCGAAGGTCTCCAGCTCTTGGTCGGGTGGAAGAGTACGCTCGAGCAAGGCGTCGCGTGGAAGCTCGAGCACCCGGCGGCCGCAACGGACAACCAAAGCAGCGCCTCATCGGCCTACGAGCGCGTGACCAAGTTCAACTACTTGCCGTCCGAGCGCGACGGGCTCATCGAGCTCATTGTGAGTCTCAAGTCGCTCGGACATGCGCTGCGCCAGGCGCATGCGTTGCACGGTGCGGCCGTGCACGCCGTTGTCTACTCCCGGCTTCAAACGTTCGCACAGCACACGCTGCTTCCGACGCTGCACCGCGCCGATAAGAAGAAGAAACAAGCGGCCACCAAGCTCCTCCACGAGCTGCGCGTGCTCGTCGGCGACTTTACCAAAGTGGATCCGGACGACTACAAGCGGGGCCGTGCCGACCGTGTCCTGAGCGACCTTCGCGCCAGAGCGGTGGCCCCGACGCACGGGCAGCTTCTGCGCGCGCGGACGCTGACGCAAGCGCTCTACGACAAGCGCGGTGGCCTTAGAAGCAGTGCGTCGTGGAGCTGGTCGAGCCACCTGGACGCCGACGTGGCGGCGTTAAAGGCGTTTTACTCCGAGTCGTTCTTCTTTACGCATTTGTGCACGCTCGAAGCGACCGTGGCGCGACTGAGCAGCGTCGGCGACCTCTGGTACCGTGAGTTTTACCTCGATTTAACCAAGTGCGTTCAATTCCCGACCGAGCTCTCCATGCCGTGGTACGACTCCTGTGTTTACCGACAGGACGTCGATCGACGGACGTAGGATTCTTCTCGAGCACGACCTAACCGAGCACGGTGGCCGGCGCCTCGGCTGGCTCCTCGACGTCTACAACGACGCTGCTGACATTGCCCTGCGCGAGCTGCGGCAGCAGCACCTCTACGACGAGGTCGAGGCCGAGACGACGCTGAGCTTTGACCAGCTCGTCTTTCTGCTTGGCGCAACGACATATGCCAGTGCGCGGCGATGTGGCGAGAAGCAGCCCACGGCCTTGGCGCGTATCGCGACCGAGCGCCGGCTCTCGGTACGGTCCTATCAAAACGCAATGACAACTCATCATGACATGTAGCTCCTCGGACGCTCGTTGGACGTAAATGCGCTCATTGGCGACCACGTCCAGGCGGCGTTGCTGCGCGAAATGGAGTCGGCGGTCGCTCGCCTCGAAGGCGCTGACCTCATGCACCTCGTGGCGTTTGCGACAACCATCGATGCGCTGCAGCACGCCCACGCTCGTCTGTGCACGCTGCTCCCTCTGGATCCGTTCGATGCTATGCTCCACGAGGTACGTCTGTCCTTTCCGCCACAAATCGGAGGGATTTTGTGCTATGTCGACACTGAATCTGAGGCTCGCGATAAGGTGCTGGACACGCGTGTGCTAGCGTTCGCGCGCAAAGAGCTGTTTGAAAACGTCCTGCCGCGCTACGGCTACGACGCTCTCGGTGCTGCGTTCCACGCCTCTGCCACCGGCTACATCGGGTGCGCCTCGCCAGAGTGTCAACAAATGATCAACGGAGCAATGCGCTAGGCGCGCACACCTCGCGACCCTCGTGCGGTTCATCGGCGTCGCCGACCTCTGCCGCGTGGCCCAAGACGCCATGCGCGATGTCGACGCCAAGGCAACCGCCATGTCAACGTCGCAGCGCCATATGCTAAGAACTTGATTAGATCCAGGACGTCCTCCCGCTCTGCGTGCACGCCCTCGTGGCCGCCGTGCCTCCTTGCTCTCTGCCCAAGTTTCTCTACAAGACCGAAGGTCCGTAGCTTGATGGTTGCGGCGTGGCGCGTGACGTTCGCTGAAGGCTGCCTCATGTACTTTGAGGGCAAGTTCCAGTCGGTCCTGCAGGACGCCGACCTCAAGGGCCACCTCTTTCAGTGCTTTCGAGAGCTCGGCAACACCCTCGCGCTCCTCTCGCTCCTCGACGAAACCACGGTACTCCTCTCGTCTTTTGCGGAAGCATCACTTGGTAACTAGGCCGTGATGGGCCGCAGCACTGCGTTGCTCCCGTATCTGCTCGAGGGCATGACCTCGGCGCTTGGACGATGCGGCTTTCTGACGTCGTGGGGACCGCCGACGAGCGGTGCGAAGCGCGTGCGAAGAGTATGTATGTAGAGTGACCACGTAGGCGGGTATTGCCATGCGTGGGGCGCCCTCGAGTTCCTCCTGCACTACACCAACGACGTCGACGACGGCGTCGCAGTCGCTGGCGCCACGCTCCTCCAGCTCCTTAAGCAGCGAGAGCGGTACGCGCTTTGCAGCAGCACGCAGCATCTTCTCCACGTGCAAGACGCGTACAACGCCGTGACGCTATGCAAAGACGATGGGGTCGGCCGCGCCGACGATACGACGACGCGCCGGACGCTGGCGTTTGTCGCGCAGGCCAAACGATCGCAGATCGTTCTCGACGCTTGGCTTGCAGGCCTCGAGATGCTGGACTGATGATTCCTGTCAGCTGCGATGCGAGGAAGCGCCATCGTCAACAGATGTAGAGTCGGAGTACATGAAGAAATGCAATGAATTCCATCGCTTACAGCTGCACGATGAGGGCGCCGAGGACGACAGCAAAGAGCGCAACGCCGGCGGCGATCCAATACCGGAGGTCTGCGTAGAGGCCAGGGAGGCGCTGCTTGGCGTCGGCGGTGGCGGACGGGATCGTGAGGACGCCGGAGGCGATCTGTTGCTGGGAAGCGATGGCCTCTTGGGCAGCGACGAGGTCGGGGAAGCAGAGGGCGAACGTCGGGTTCTTGACGTTTTCTTCAAGAGACGCGAGCGCAAATTTGCGTTTTTGGGCGTCCGTGGTCGTGATGCTGCCGAGCGTCGGCGTCGTCTCGTTCATGAACGAGTAGAGACCGGCGAGGATGCTGCTCACGGACCACATGGGGTTCCACGTCTCGGGGTGGTAGTCCGACATGCTCAGGCAGAGGCGTTTGTTGGTCTGGAAGCGGCCGTTGGGCGTGAGCATGTACACGGACGGCGGCTTCATCGGGTACTCGGGCGGGAAGACGAGCTTGCCGTGGTAGTAGCCGCCCTCGTAGACGCCGATGCCCCGGAGCACGTAGTGCCACTCGAGGATGTTGCGCTCCAGCGGGACGGCCTCGACGTTCACCTCCGGGCTCTTGCGCAGCGCGAGGTACTCCTTCCGGAGCCGCTTCGTCGCCATCGCGGACGCCATCGTGGTAGAGAGAAATACTGCCGGTATCCGGACGCGACTGAAAAAAAACGCGTTTTTTTACACACGTAATATTACCACGTCACACGCTGCGTCATGCGAGCTCGATGGATCGATGGATCGATCGGAGGATAGAGTATAGATAGTCCGATGGATACTT